ACGATGTAGGCGCTAAAATAATAACATGGTGAGAAGAGTATTAAAAAAACTAGGGGATAAACTCATGTTTCTGTACGATGTAGGCGCTAAAATAATAACATGGTGAGAAGAGTATTAAAAAAACTAGGGGATAAACTCGTGTTTCTGTACGATGTAGGCACTTAAAGTATTTGACTTCTGAAACATTGTGTAGCAAAAAAAAATGGGTATAGACGGGAATCAATCCTCGACTTCCTGTATGCTGTGCCATATGAGTCAAATCCCAAAGATGTTTTTCCCATATGCAGCATTATCAAGTGGAATACTATATATATATGAGAAGGATATATGTTTTAAGTAGACAAATATTTTAAATAATTCTGTTGTTGTATCATGTAGTTGGACATGAATGAAACCAAAGCCTACTAAACAATATATGGAGTTCTTGTATTTAGATTTAAATTTCATTCGCGCAATGTGTTAGCTGTAGAGCATAAAAAATTAATGAATTTATAACAGTCACTATTAAGGCTAATTGTTGTAGACTAAATATAGCGGGTAAACTCGTGCTTCGCGTACGAAGCTTATTTAAACCTTAGGTCTTGATGGAATTTGTATTGAAATGTAATGGTATTGCGTTATCTATAAGACACGGAAACGTAAAGAATTAATTTAATATGTTTAGTTGCGTGTTTATTATGTTAGTAAAGTAATTTTCTTTTTAATGTTATTACCGTTGTGTATTAAGATTCTTTCGCTTTTTGCACTCGTATAAACATAAAAGTACAACTGTTCAATTAGCCAATAGGAATATTTAGTTTCCATGTGAGCTAGCACGCATACACGCACAGATTGACTGACACACACATTGTTCTTTTAATTACAAAGGCTATTCTTTTCGTTCAAACATTAGAGCACAGACAACTGAATATTTAAGTACGTATTTTATCAGACACGAACAAATAATGCTAAATCCTCAAACATTCTATATGTACGCACATATATAAGTTAGAGTTCTTTTGAAAATTAGATTATGGAAGTGAATCTTAGATAAATTAATCTTAAAAAAACAACAATTACTTGATGATTCCCATTCTATGCAAAACTTTGTTATTAAATAAAACAAATTAAACCTTTAAAAATGAGACAGCATTTTGATTTAATGTATGCCTTCGTTTCTCGTTCAAGTCTGTTTTCATAAAGAAAAAAATATATACATTTATAGGTTCGATTTCTTTTTTTACAGCGAATCGACAATTCGTTCTTCATTGTTAGTAACTAGCGCGTGTAGTTCTGAGAGCGGCCCTTTAGATTCTCTGCGCTGCTCGGCCTTATGAAATCTCATTCACTTCATAAATATGCAAACAAGGCTCCTTTAACGAACAGAGAGCTTCATTTTCAACCTGACATCCGTTTCATTTGCATCAGCCTGTATCAGAGTAGCATGTAGAACTGGCTTTCTGAAATTCCTCCTTCGGATTGGGTTAGAAATTTCGTGGCTTGGATGTTCTTCTCTGTCCACTTTCCTTACTCCATTTGAACTGCAGTACACGGCATGAGAAAGACGTAAATTGGAAGGAATATGTTAAACTTCTTATTGCCATGCAGTGTTTCATTGCTTCACTTGAAAAAAAAAAGGCCATGCTACAGCGTGTCTTAATGCCTAGAGTTTCATAACAGCTTTTCGTGTCTTTGCCTTGCCTCTATAGCAAGCACAGTGATTTTTTTAAATCGGGTAGTAAATCTTGGTGAAACTACTGACAGAAAAACCCTTTCATTATACCCATGTTTACGTGTTCAACACGAACCTCGTGTTCATGTATAGTTCTATGTATTGAAAGATCTAATATACTAAAATCTATTTATTGTAGAAAGAGTTATCTTAGACTCAAAATATCTACAATACCTAAGTTTTGGCAAACTTTTTTTTTCTACACTGTTTTCTTATTTATGCAGATTAACTAATAATTTTAGTAACTGTACGAAGTGTTTACCCAGACGTGTGTGTGTGTGTGTGTGTGTAGTTATATTACCGCTTTACAGAACTAAGCCCACAATATTAGTGCCGTATGTAACTTAAATCTTAAACACGCCGATTAAACTTGAAAATAACGTTTACTTAATATCTGAATGTGCACAAGAACAATTGATGAAGTAGATATGAGTATTACAGCTTTCCTAAACAGACATGGTCAGGAGAAATTGATGAAGAAGGAGGCGCTCGTGGATAACAAAGAAAAACGTCGAAGAACATGCTATGTTTAATAAATAGTAGCTGTCGTTTACAATATTTTTAAATCGTATTACGAATCCATGCATGATAACACATCGTTGGATATGTATGCACGTGTTTCGCGTCAGCCGTTTAAAAAGTTGATGTCGTTTTTATACTCTTAACTGAACTTGAAAAGTGCCTTAAGAAACTATAACGATATATTAAAATGTCATAAATTTAAGTTTATTAGTCTTAATTCTATGTACCTAAATAAAATATTAATACTTCGAAACGTTCATCTTTAAAACTTACTGTTATGATATGTATTTATGCGCTGATGTTATTACATATTCTCCAAACGGAGGTACTCAATTTATGAGAAACAAGTTGTTTTTTTTTCAATTTTTCGATAACTTAAACAGGAACTGAATTTTACCTAAGTTGTTTTTAGTATTCTCATTAATAAAGACCTATTTGGTGTATTTGATGGAATAATGTTTTCGAACTATATATATATATAAGACAATAGGTTTTAACCGTGTTTTGTCGTATATAGTATAAATATGTATATATTTCATTTAAATTAAATCGGATTTCTTAACGATCATCGTAATTGAGAACTTAGTTTTTAATTTTAATGTATTTAGCTTTAAGATATTTGAAATCACGTAGTTTGTAATTAAAAAAAACTCATTTGAACTGGATTTGAAAATGTACAGATATTGTGTCAACTTGATTAAACGTTGATTACTTTTCCAAAAGGACATTATGACTCGGTGGTCCCACGCTTTGGACTCATGGTCGAATGGTTGTGAGTACGAGGCTGGTCGGTGTGTATGGTGTTGTGTTCTTGAGCAAGACACTTTACTTCACTTGTTCCACTCTAGCCTGCTGGATGATGGTTACCTGAGGGTGAACCTGCGATGGACTGGCATCCTTTTGTGCAATTGGAACCGAAAAAGACATTATGACTCGGTGGTCCCACGCTTTGGACTCATGGTCGAATGGTTGTGAGTACGAGGCTGGTCGGTGTTATGGTGTTGTGTTCTTGACCAAGACACTTTACTCCACTTGTTCCACTCTAGCCTGCTGGATGATGGTTACCTGAGGGTGAACCTGCGATGGACTGGCATCCTTTTGTGCATTTGGAACCGGAGTTCGAAAGCATTGGATTTATATGCCTTAGACCCACAAAAGGGTTTAACTTTTTCAAAACCAGTAACATTTTGCAACATCCTCGATAACAATTTGTATTAAAGCACATCTGCGTTTTATTATAAGGTAGAATGTTAAGATAAAGACACGAGGTTTCCAAAGATTGTTAAGGTATTCTATAAAATAACAACGGTTTTTGAATATTTAGTAGTAATTGGTTCTGTTCTGACACTTTCTCTTTGCCCTCCATTCAGGAAGGTTTGACGTGTATGCTGGTATTCGCCATTATCGCAGCCGTCCTTGGAATGTTTCAGTTTGGATACAACACTGGAGTCATCAATGTCCCACAAAAAGTAAGATTTGATCTTTCTCCACTTATAACAGAGCGGTTCATTTTATTGTAATATACACATGAAACTTGTGAACAGAGGAGCGTTTGGATTCTTCTGCCTTTTATTTTTTTCTATTTCTATTACGATTAATAGAATAAAGTTGTATCTCATGTATCGCGGTTTACATTTATTTCCAGTTGACCTTCAGTGGCTCAGTAGTAAGTCTGAAGGCTTATAACGCTAAAAACCGGGTTTCGATACCAGCAAAGATAGTCCATTGCGTAGCTTTGCGCTTAACAACAGATAAACAAGATTCGATTTCATATACGTAAATATTATTTATAGCTGGCCATACGTTCATAACTGAAGCTTCACGGTTTGAAGACTTAGAAACAATGATTCTTTTATTTTATTTTGTTATTTCGTCGTTACTCAAAACTCTAAGTTGATGATTTCAATAGACAAATAAAGTAACTGAGACATCTTCGTTTTGTTGGCGATTTTTTTTTTTTTAAAGTTCAAGTATCTTTTCAAGAAGGAATATTTTTACCATACTCATGAAATAAGTTGAGGTCTGACATTTTTAACCACACTTACTGCACATAAACTGTGTAAGTTTGAGTGTTATTAACCACACTTACTGCACATAAACTGTGCAAGTTTGAGTGTTAATACGGTAAATGTGTTATTGAGTAATTCTTAGCTCAGATCTCTTTTTAACTGTAACTTGAACAGAAGAGTAAACAAACGAAACGTTTTTCCAAAACCTACGAAATTTGGCACGATTTTAAAGACAGTACTGATAATAAACGCAGTAATCATTTTTAGCCATATAAATCCTTATACAGCAAGTGTTATTAACTTGATGAGTGCGTCTAATCGTTATTAAATTAATAGAATAACTTATTTTCAGAATACATTATTGTTAGGTTTAGTTTTATTATACTCAAAATACAGGGTTCGATTCCCCCGCGGTGGACAGAGCGCATATAGCCTTGAATAGGTTTGCGCTAACAACAACAACAACACGTTCGCGAGTACGTGTTTGGTAATACACAGTTATATATATGATACGTTTAAATGCACGCATACCAGCCGTCTGAGCGAGGTTTCTTTTAAATATTTTGCATGCAGATTCACCCGTATGAAAAACTTTCCATAACAAACGAGAAATATCAATACATTTTACATACCAACTAATACTATTCTCGTGCTTTCCGCTATCCAAAAACACACACGTTCTCATCCAACTTCCTCTGTCAAGAAAAAAGTATATAGATATGAAATACATAAAAAAAATATTTTATATATACACTATCAATCGATAATGACTTATATTTCTAAGTTGTAGACAAACATTTATATTAAGAATTTATCTATGGGATCGAAACCATCTGTTGGCATGTTTTTTTTTTCTTCTTAATGCTAAAGGACTACTGCTGCCCATCTAAACATTAGCTCTGAATTAAAACCGTAATTTTAAAGTAATGATTTAACGAAACAATTACGCTACATGTCTACATATTCGTCATGCGCTACAGACATTGATCAAGTGTAATTATTCCTGAACTACATATCTACATATTCATCATGCGCTATAGACATTGATCAAGTGTCATTATTCCTGAACTACATGTTTACATATTCATCATGCGCTATAGACATTGATCAAATGTCATTATTCCTGAACTACATGTTTACATATTCGTCATGCGCTATAGACATTGATCAAGTGTCATTATTCCTGAACTACATGTCTACATATTCATCATGCGCTACAGA